ACAGGGCCCTAGGCTAAATGGCCAGTAGGGCATTGTTTTAACTATCTCAGGAATCTGGGTGTAACAGAGGAACTTAATAATACCTAATCTTTTACATTCAAGCTTTCCAGCTTAGAAACTTTACCCTTTCAGTAGTGAAAGTGTTTATGTGCAGATTTCAATTCTGATGGCTGATGCTGATTGTTGTTTCTTGACTGGTGTTGGGTCTGCAGGATTTGGGGTGGTTGAGTCTGATTATGCTCTGATCAGGGCATAACCATTGGTACAGGGACCTCTGGAATGGGGTTTTGCATTGGGGAAGAGGCATTGGACTAGATTCTGAGTACTGCATGGGGTAGTGATGTTACCGCTGTTGGCCAGTGATGAGTCCTTGCTTCCCCAATGTTGAAGAATAACACCAAAGAAGCACGCCGAGGCAAGGTCAGAGTAGAAATTAGAAGTTTACTAAAGGACAGCAGAAAAGACTTCTCCAGGAGGAAGAAGGGGACCCAAGAAGTGGAATCTGTGGAAGTGCTGTTGTCTCTCCTTTTTAGTTTTGGTGATGGAATGTAGGTTGAAAGGCCCGAGGGGTGGGGCACAGGTGGGCCAAAGAAGTAATCTGGGCAGGAAGGACTTAATTATCACTTTTTGGGATGGGCTTATCACTTCTCTGCGATGGGCTATCTCCAAATCTGTTGGGGGCTGTTTCCTGGGCTCCATTAACATTTCGTTGGGGTGGACTTTGGCTTAGGGCTTTTTTGGGACTTCATTAACATTCCATGAGTTGACCTGCATTTCCTGGAATCATTGTCAGCATGGCTTCCATTTTAGATTTCACTCAGTATTAGACCCGATTTACCTAACTACACTGACTACCTAGCTTTAAATCTGGCTTCAGTGAGAGTTGATATCCAAAGAGCAGTTTTAGGGTCAGTGGATGGATCACTACTAACAGATAATGCAGGGATGGGGAAGGATTCTGGCTAAGTCAGCCTACCAGGATTCTACCCAGAGGCAACCCAGTGTGATTGGACATCATCTGGGGACAGAGAAGGATGAGGAACTGACCAGATAGCATGTGATCAAGTTTCAAGATATCTCAGCAGGATTCAGAATGAAATTAGATAATGTAGAGACCACCACAGAGTCCAAAAGATGTTGAGGGAGAGCTCCTGGGTGGAGGAGCAAATCTTTGTAGGGGCAGAAGGCAAGGTCACTACTGGTGTCCCAGTTGCCCCAGGCACCATGGATGCTGGAGGGAGATTGTATTTCCTGTCTGCTGAGAGCCATGGCCAAGTAGGAATGCTGCATGGCATTTTTGGTTGAAAGGTGACCCCAGAAAGCCATTGAGATGATAATGATTATGTTAAGATGCACATTCAATTGGAGATTAGACCCCTGCTGTCTGCCTAAGCCTGCTACTTTGCAGCTCTCCAGGGACTCCAGGAGAGTTCCCATTGGTTGGGGAAGTGCGGTAGGAGGGAATTCTGGAGGAGGGATTTCCTGTTGGAGGAGTGTGTCCCGGGAGGAGCCCCATAGCGTGGTTCGGCACCCCCCCCCCATAGTGTGTGGAGTGTGCTGGTGGAGTTCAGAAATAAAGTTTGTTCCTGCTTCAGTGGCTCGTGATTTGTGCCTAGCCAGACTGCGGCACCTGTCCACAGAAGGAATGGAGAGGAAACCTGCCCTTCCTCTATGCTCTCCACACTCACTAGCTCAGGGGACTATTCTGCTTCATCAGTTGGCTTTTTGCAGCCAGGCACTGGAAGCTCTGTGTCTGAAAATAAACTTGTAATTCCAGGAGGTTTTTGATCTCTGGACTGACTTATCCACTAGGAACAAAACTTTCAAGGTTCAGAAAAATGTTTTAATTTCTCCTAAAATCAGAACTTTAGGAAAAAACATATTCATATATCAAATTTATATATTAATCTTTATATTGAAAAATGTAATTTCAAAATTTTTTTAAATGGAGAATGTGGCTTATGTAATTAGTGCCTGGGTCACAAAAATTATAATGAGGTCTTAATAATATCCTCTATTTTCTCTATTCATCTATGATGTGAACTCTCAGAATCACAGAAACTTAATATTAAGTTATTGATGGTTATCTCCATACTAAGTACTAATACAATTTATCTCTATCCTGATGTCCACGCACATACTCCCACCCAAACTCTCTACATGTGAGTCTCAGTTCAAATATATTTTTTTCAGAGATCCCTTTGAAGCCAGATTTAAAGTTAGGTAGTCAGTGTAGTTAGGTAAATCGGGTCTAATATCAAGTAAGATCTAAAATGGAGGCCATGCTGATAATGATTCCAGGAAACAACTCATGCAATGTTAATGAAGTCTCAGAAAGGCCCTAGGCCAAAGTCCAACCCAAAGAAATGTTAATGGAGCCCAGGAAACAGCCCCCTACAGATTTGGAGATAGCCCATCCCAAGAAATAATAATGAAGTCCTTCCTGCCCAGATTACTTGTTGGCCCACCTGTGTCCCACCCCTCAGGCCTTCCAACCTGCATTCCATCTGCTGTCCTTTAATAAATTTCTAATTTCTACTCTGACCTTGCCTCGGTGTGCTTCTTTGGTGTTATTCTTCAACATTGGGGAAGCAAGGACTCATCACCGGCCAACAGTGGTAACACCTTTCTTAAACTATTATTTCAGGAGGTTTTTCTTCTCCTCCTCCTCTTCTTTGGAAACCATCAGCCCACTCCTCTAATATCTCCCTACACCTTTACTTGTTTGTTCATTTATTCACAGAAAGTTGAAGCACACAATAACCTGTTCTCAACAGCCATTGCCTCCCCAATGCCAACAGTCAGATTAAACAATCTTTTGTAGATTAAAAATTAAGTCCATTGTACCTTCCTGGGGAAATTGTCCTCCACGATTCACAGGTACCAAAGTAGATGTCAAAGTTGTGTGACCAACTCATCCCTGACTTGGTGGTCACCACACTCATGATCTCAGAGCTTCATTTTATACCTAGAAGCATTTCACTGAAAAATGTGTAGAATGAGAGAGAAGTTGTGAGCAATCCTTGGCATGCCTCATTCCCCAGTGCCTGATCCCTGGAGGACCAGGGACTTGTGCCCAAGCTGTGGACTTCTTAAGTGTGAAGTTCACAACCACCTGAGTGTTACAACCCACAGGACAGACTCTGTTTATCTTGGCTTCTCACCAAGATAAATGAAATCAAGTTATGTTAGCGTTAACATTTCCCCTAATTTTGTATATCATTCAGATATATTAAATAAAAACGCAAGGGAGTCCCTTAATCCTGCCAAAGTTGTAAAAACCATTAATAGCAGCCACCATGTCTGCTCAGGGGTCTGTCTCACTTCTTTGTAGAATATTCCTCAGCAAGCTTTCTTAGTGAGGATCTTGATGTTTTAGTTGCCTGGGTGACTGAGGTTGTGATAGTTTTGGTGATAAGAGAGGGTCCAGGCCACCTGGTTTGTGTGACGGGATCTTGAAACAATAGGGTTTGTTTGTTTGTCTGTTTTAAGGGGATGTAATTATGGCTGGAGGAAGTTTTGACATACCAGACCCCCATCTTCCAGGTGCCTGTCAGTTTGTCCTCCCCAGAACCACCACCCATTCATGGCTGATCAGCTACTTATCAGTCATCACTCTACTGGATACGAAGAGTAAATTTGATGGCACACACTTGTAAGCCTGTGTCCAAGGGGGAAGAACGGGAATTGCCCACCGAGTACAAGACAGCAGTGCGCGCTCTGGAAAGCCCGGAGCAAGTTCCGCTTAAATCAATTATGTCCCCCTCCTGGCTAGGTCCCCCTCCTGGGGAGGCAACTGGGGCTGGGAAGGGCTGGGGTGGCTCTGGGTCATTTCAGCTCCACTCACTCTCAGACGGGATCGCTTTTCCCGTCAGTCAGGCCTCAGGGGGCGGGCACTGGGTCAGTAGCCAATCAGGCTCTCGGGGGCGGGGCGGTCTTGCGGTCCCAGCAGGCGCGCTCAGGGAGGAGGGGTGGTGCTGCGGCCGGCGAGTCGGAGGTTCTCTGCCCCCGCCTGGCTCCAAGCCCCGTCTCAGTTTTTGTTGGCTGTGAACTCCACCGACCGCAGGAGCTGTAGGGAGGACGCCAGAGACTCCTCCCAAGTCGGAAAATGGTGAGTACGGGAGCCAGGTGTCCCCATATCCGGGAGGACGGGCTTGTCGCCATCACCGAGAACCGGCTGTGGCAGGACCGGCCTCTCCGGCGTCAGCTCCAGAGTCCGCGGCCGAGTCCGCAGCCGGCGCCGCTGGGCCCTCGGTCCCCTCCTGCCCAGGGTGGGGCTGGGCTGTCCGTCAGGACTCCCACGTCCTCTCTGTTCCCAGCGCGGCGACTTGGGCCCGGCCCCTGGCCCTGTCGCGCAGCGCTGTGCCCACAGCTCGCGTCTCCCCGGACCGCGCAGTGAGGACCCGGGAGGCGCTTTTTGCAATCAGCGTGTTTTAATTTCATTGAAGTCTAGGTTATCCGTTTTCTTATTCTCACATCATGCTTTGGGTGTCACATCCGAAACCTCATTGCCAAACTCGAAGTCGTCTGGTTTCTGTTTACCTTCGAGAAGTTCTAAACTTTGCATTTTACATTTCGGTTTGTGGCCCGGTTTTAGTTTTGTGAAAGTTGTCAGTTTCTTCACCTATCATGTCCAGGTGGTTCAGTAACGTTCATTGAAAAGATCATACTTTAGTCATTTAGTTTCTTTTGCTCCTTTATCAAAGAACAATGGATTATAGTTTTGTGGGCTTATTTCTGTTGTTATTATTATTTTTTTCCCTTCTAGTTTTCTGTCCTGTTCTGAGATCAATGTTTATTTGTTATCCACCTACCTCAGTCTCCCAAGCCGCTGGAATTATGGGTGTCACTCCCTGCTAGAAGAGTTTTTTGTTGTTGTTGTTGTTGTTACTGATAACGTAACTTGTTAGGATTTTTATTTGGATTATGTTGACTTTGCAATTAAAATGGAGAACATCTTAAAATATTGAGGCTTCCTACTCCTGACCAACTCCACAAATTTAGTTTTTTTTAAAAATTTTTTCCACTACAAATTTGTCGGTTTTGTTGTATTTGTGACAATCATGTATAAGTATTTCTCTCTGTTTTTATCCTTGATGCTATGCAAGTAATGTTGTATTTTAAATTCCAAATCCAGTTGTTCATAGTTGATATACAGGAAAATTAGGGACTTTTCTATATTGATCTTGTGTTCTACAACTTTGCTATAGTAGCTTATTAGTTTCTTTTTTAATATTTATTTTTTAGTTGTGGTTGGACACAATATTTTATTTATTTTTATGTGGTGCTGAGGATCGAACCCAGGGCCTCGCATGTGCTAGGCAAGCACTCTACCTGAGCCACAACCCCAGCCCAGCTTATTAATTTCTTTTTCTTTCTTTTTTAAAGAGAGTGAGAGAGAGAGGGGGACAGAGAGAGAGAGAGAGAGAGAGAGAGAGAGAGAGAGAGAGAATTTTAATATTTATTTATTTTTTCTTAGTTCTCGGCGGACACAACATCTTCGTTTGTGTGTGGTGCTGAGGATCGAACCCGGGCCGCAGGCACGCTAGGCGAGCGTGCTACCGCTTGAGCCACATCCCCAGCCCACTTATTAATTTCTTGAGGTTTTTACTGATTCTTGGGATTTTGTACAACCAAAGTCCAGTCCTGTCTTCTGTGAACATTTATGTTTGTTTATTCTCAATATATTGAGAATAAACAAACATAAATCAATCAATATATTGATTTTATATATCAAATATATCAATCTCAATATATTTTCCTTCTGCTTTTTTGAAATATGGGTTCCTTTTCTCTCTCTATCTCTCTATCTCTAGCTCTTTTCCTGTATTGGGGATTAAAACCAGGGGTACTCTCCCACTGAGCCCATCTCTAAGCCTTTTTTGAGACAGGGTCTGGCTACATTGCTGAAGTTGGCCTCAACTTGCACTTGAGATCTTCCTGCCTCAGCCTCGCAAGGGCTGAGTGCTGTGTGGTTTTTCTGCAAGTATTGATATGATCATGTGATTTTTCTTATTTCACTTGTTAATATAATAGTTACACTGATTTTTGAGTTTTTTCTTTTGGGGTGCTAGGGATTGAATGTAGGTCCTTACACATGGTAGGCATGTGCTGTACCACAAGTTTTTGATTGTTGAATTCAATCATCCCTACACACCTGTAATAATCCCCACCTGTTTGTAATACATAATTTAACAAATACATTTTAAAATTAACTTGCTAACATATATTGAGAATTTTAACATCTGTCTTTCCGTAGTTTTCCTTTTTTGTAGTGTCTTATTTCTTTTTATTAATTGGGTAATGTTGGCCTCATTCCATGAATTAGGAAGTATTTGCTTTTATTTTCTGGAAGGAATTTTGGAGAATGGGAGTCATTGCTTCCTTAAATATTTGGAAGAATTCACCAGTGAGATCATTTGGGTCTTGGCCCTGCCTTTTCATATACACACACACATATGTTTATGTGTGTGTGTGTGTGTGTGTGTGTGTGTGTATGTATATTTATATTTTTTTAAGTTGTAGTTGGGGGTTACTGGGATTGAATTCAGGGGCACTTGACCACTGAGCCACATCCCCAGCCCTATTTTGTATTTTATTTAGGATCTCAGTGAGTTGCTTAACACCTCGTTTTTGCTGAGGTTGGCTTTGAACTCATGATCCTCCTGCTTCAGCCTCCTAAGCTGCTGGGATTACAGGTGTACACCACTGCTCCTGGCTTTAATTTTTGAACTTCTTTTGTCAAATTGAAACCTATACATTTATTCTTTGGGTGCTAATTTAAACTTTTTTTTTTTAATTAAAGAGAGAGAGAAACAGAGAGAGAGAGAGAGAGAGAGAGAATTTTAATATTTATTTTTTAGTTTTTTTCGGTGGACACAACATCTTTGTTTGTATGTGGTGCTGAGGATCGAACCCGGGCCGCACCCATGCCAGGCAAACACGATACCACTTGAGCCACATCCCCAGCCCTAAATTCATTTTCTTAAGGGTATTTTTAGGTATTCCATTGTATGTGTGTTGAAGTACAATCGAGTTTGTGTATTTTGTTCTTTTTATCTTGGTGAGCAAATATTCATCTTGGTTACTTCCAAGTTTTGAAAATTAGTGCATGATGCTGCTCTCCACAGGTTGGTGCCAGTCTTTGTGTAGGCCTATATTTTCAACTCATTTGAGTGCTAATTTATATGGGGATTCATCTTTGGGAGTTGGTTTGGGGTTGAGCCACATGGGATGGGGCTGAGAATCATTCCCTCTATGAGAATCAAGTTTCAATGAGTATATGTGTGTGTGTGTGTGTGTGTGTGTGTGTGTGTGTAATGATTTTAATGATCACATTACAGGAAATAGTGGTGGAGTGTGACACTGGACATTTTCATTTATCCACTTTTTTGTTTGCTAAGGTGATCCCCTGTTGGTTTACGTAATTGACTATTTGTCCTTCTAATAAATGTCAGAGTCATCTACTTGATATTTTATTTGGCTATTTCCTCATTACAACAATGGGATTTTTTCTATAACTTGTCTTTCATCTTCTGTCAAGTATAGTTTGGTTATTTACCATTTTTAAGCATGTGCTCATCATATTTACTCTGCATGTGAATCCTTTTATATTGCATGTATTGCAGATTTCTCCATTCTGTTTTTGTCTTTTTTTAAAAATATTTTTGTTGTTGTTGTTGCTAATGGACCTTTATTTTCATCTATTTATATGTGGTGCTGAGAATCAAACCCAGTGCTTCACATTTGCTAGGCAAGTGCTCTACCACTGAGCCACAGCCCCCGCCCTGTTTTTGTCTTTTAACTGTCTTGATTTTAGAATATTTTAATTTTTTATTTTCTTTTTTTCCTAGCACTGGAGATTGAACCCAAGGCCTCACACATGCTAGAGAAATGATCTACCACTGAGCTACATCCCCAGCCTCAGTTCTTTTCTCTATGGCTTATTCTTCATGTTATTTAAAAATTATCCTACCTATTACATCCAAGAAACTAGTGAATGCTAAAGGTGTTCTATATTTATTTTTTATATTTGAATCTACAGTGGATTGATTACTATCCACAATATAGGAGGGAATGGAATGCATATTTCAAGTAGAGACCAGTTTGCCTTGCTCCATGTTTTAAAGTGCTTGTGCTCTCTCCCAGAGCTCCACAGTGCCTACTGTATTATTACTATTATTATCATTGGTGGGTATAAGGCATTGACCTGAGGGCCTTGTGCATGCTAGGCAAGTGCTCTACCACTAAACTATACCCCCAGACCCACCTACTCTATTATTAATCAACATTCTATACAAATGCCAGCTCTTGGTAGATGCCTTTCCTTTTGTCTATTTTTTTCTGCTAATACTAGGCTGCTCTGTATATTAGGTTTGTGAGGCAAGCCATCACTCTCCTTTAGAAAACTTTCATCATTGTTAGACATTTGTTATTCCTTTTAGTTTATAAAAACAAACTACTGAAGAGTCTGCTTTGGAGAGTTATGGGATTTTTGTGAGGTATGATTTGGAAGAGGTGATATCAATGATGATATTGAGTTCTTTCCAAGAACATGTATCATCTACCCACCGATTTGATTCTGCTTTGACATGGCTCAATAGAAATTCCAAAGTTGTTCTGTTAGGTTCATTAAATATTGATCACTTATTATACTTAGTACTTTATTAAATTTGGCCTGGAGTAAAGTGTTTATAAGTCCCCAAAGGATATCTCTTGTTGTAATCACATAGGATGAACTCAGTTCCCCAATGGACAAGTTGTGACAACATGCATGAAATAGTGTCTACCAGGTAATTAGCTCGTTAGACACTTAGTGTGCACAGTGTTTATGGGGTCTAATCCTCTAGGCACCACTGTGAGCATGGAACAAATTAATAGACATTCAGAAGAGAAACAAGAGTTCATAAACTGCTATGGTGTTTACATAGATCATTTAGGCACAGTGAAACATTCTTATTATTTATGTTAGTGAATCACTCCCAAGTTTCAAGTTCACTGGTACTAGCAAAGTTTGAACTATGTGAGTAGACTTAAGACTACCTTTTTTTTTTTTTTTCCATCAGGGATTGAATCCAGGGGTGCTTAACCAAGGAGCCACATCTCCACCCCTTTTTATTTTTTATTTTGAGACAGGGTCTTGATAGGTTACTTAGGAACTTGCTAAGTTCCTGAGGCTGGTTTTGATCTTGCGATCCTCCTGCCTCAGTCTCTCAAGTCACTGGGATTACAGGTATGTGCCACCATGCGGTGCTAATGTTAACTCTTCATATCAGGTGGTAGGACTTTGTTATGACAGATACTAAAGACCATCTCTACAAAGAGAAATGAAAGTGACCTAACAGCACATCGTACTTTCTGAGCCCACTAATGAGAAGGGCTCCTACTTGCTATTTCCTTTCTGAATAGCTCAATTCTAGTACAAGAACTGCTGTGTGGGAGGGAGTATCATCCAAGGCAAGAATTCTCATGACCAAGTCATGATGGAAATGTTTGGAAACCATAGAATCATGTGACCCTCTTATGAATTGAGTGTAGGTTCTGGTCAGTCAGACTCATTCTCCTGTACCTATATGTGGAATGTTTTAGGACTCGGTGGCTTTTCAGGATGTGGCTGTGGACTTCACCCAGGCAGAGTGGGCTTTGTTGGATCCTTCCCAGAAGAATCTCTACAGAGATGTGATGCGGGAAACTTTCAGAAACCTGGCTTCTATAGGTAAGACCAACATCATTCCTTTACCTAGTCAGTTATAGCACAAATGTTTCTTGTTCATGCATGTGGTTCTGTGATTGGAATGTAAAAAGGGAAGAATTTGGTGAATGAGTCAGAAAAGGGAAGAATTTGATGAAGAATCAGGCATTGTTACAGTGTACATTGAAACTAGAAATGAATAATTTTTCTAAAATTTCTTTGTTTTCTTCTTTTTTTTTTTTTTTGGTGGTGGTGGTGGTACTAGTAATTGAACCCAGGGATACTCTACTATTGAGCTACATCCCTAATCCTTTTTATTTTTTAAACTTTGACCCAGCATTTCACTACATTGCCTAGAATGGCCTTGAACTTGCCGTGCTCCTTCCTGAGCCTAAATAGTAGCTGTAATTACAGATGTGCACCACTGCACCTGACAGTTAACAAGTTTTCTACAACTTTTAATAATTCACGATAATTTTTCTTTGTTCACATTTTAGGAAACAAGTGGAAAAACCAGAACATTGAAGACCAGTTTAAAATTCCAGGGAGAAATTTAAGGTAATTTGCATGTATAAGAGAAAAAAAAAAGTCCTTTTAAGAAATCCTAGCATGTCATAGAATTTTAAAAACAATTAAAACAAAACAAACACATTTTTTTTTTCCTGGTACTGGGGATTGAACTCAGGGGCACTCAACCAGTAAGCCACATCCCCAACCCTATTTTGTATTTTATTTATAGACAGGGTCTCACTGAGTTGCTTAGTGCCTCACAGTTGCTGAGGCTGGCTTTGAACTTGCAATTTTCCTGTTTCAGCTTCCCAAGCTGCTGGGATTACACCTGCCTGGCAAAAACAAATACATTTTTAAGTTTATTTATCATTAGAAAATTTTCAGTGAAGCTACTATATATTTAAATGTTTCAAAGATGTTCAGTGCTTACAAAATAGTTTGTAAACTAAGAACTAAATACTAAGAAACTGAATGTTGCTGTTTTGATAATAGCCAAGTGGGATTCATGTTGCACTGTATTTGGTCCATGTACTTTTAAGTCTTTTTGCTACCCATGGGAAAAAATGTACCCTGTCCTTGATGTGAGGAGCAATGGAACGCCAACACTTACTAATAAGTACATTTTAATAATTGAACCCTTGCTAATGCATTTGTCATTTTTTACAGAAGTTATGTAGTAGAGAGACCCTGTGAAAGTGAAGAAGGCAGTCAGTGTGGTGAAACCTTCACCCAGGCTTTAAATCTTAATCAGAGCAAGAAAATTCCTGCTGGAGTAAAACCATGTAAATGCAGGGTGTGTGGAAAAGTTTTCCTATGTCTTTTATCTCTCAAGAGGCATCTGAAATCTCACTCCAGATACAAGGCACTTGAGTGTGAGGAATATGGAGAGAAGCCACATAAATGTGAACAGTGTGGGAAAACCTTCAATTCTCTCAGAAGTGTTGGAAGACATATGGTGGCCCACAGGATAAAAGGCTCTTATACTTGTGAGTTGTGTTTGAAAGTCTTTGATTCCCCCAGTTCATTTCAAATACATCAACAAATTCACACTGGAGCCAAACCCTCTGACAGCAAGCAGTGTTCTAGTTCATTTCAAATACCTGGCAGAATTCACACTGTAAAAAAATCTTATGAATGCAAACAGTGTGGCAAAACCCTCAGTTCTTCCTGTTCCCTTCGAAGGCATGAAAGAAGTCATAATGGAGAAAAACCCTATGAGTGTAAACAGTGTGGTAAGGCCTTCACACGTCATGGTTACTTTCGAGAACATGAAAGAATTCATGCTGAAGCAAAAACCTATGAGTGCAAACAGTGTGGTAAAGCTCTCAGTTCTTCCAATTCCCTTCGAATCCATGAGAGAACTCACACTGGAGAAAAACCCTATGAGTGTAAACAGTGTGGTAAGGCCTTCACACGTCATGGTTACTTTCGAGAACATGAAAGAATTCATGCTGAAGCAAAAACCTATGAGTGCAAACAGTGTGGTAAAGCTCTCAGTTCTTCCAATTCCCTTCGAATCCATGAGAGAACTCACACTGGAGAAAAACCCTATGAGTGTAAACAATGCGGGGAAGCTTTCAGATGGCACAGTGACCTTCGAAAACACGTGCGATTTCATATTGAAGAAAATCCCTTTGAATGTAAAAAATGTGGCAAAGCACTAAGTTCTCCCAATTCCCTTCGAATTCACGAAAGAACTCACACGGGAGAAAAACCTTATGAGTGTAAACAGTGTGGAAAAGTCTTCCGATTTCAGACTTCCCTCATAAGGCACGAAAGAGCGCATGCTGGAGACAAATCCTATGAGTGTATACAGTGTGGCAAAACTCTCAGTTGTTCAAATTCCCTTCAAGTCCATGAAAGAATTCATAATAAAGCACGACCCTATCAGTGTAAGCAGTGCGGCGAAGCCTTCAGATTTCACGTGGCTCTTAAAATGCATGAAAGAACCCACGCTGGATATAAACCTTACGACTGTCAACAATGTGGTAAAGCCTTCAGATGCCGCGGCTATCTTCGAAAACACGAAAGGATTCACACTGAAGTCAATCCCTATGAATGTAAACAGTGCGGCAAGGTGCTCAGCTGTCCCAGTTCCCTGAGATATCATGAGAGGGCTCACACAGGAGAAAAACCCTCTGTGTGTAAACAGTGTGGCAAGAGGCTCAGTTGTTCCAGTGCCCTCCAAAAACACAAAAGAATTCACACGGACAGAAAAACTCTGTGAATGTCAACAGCGTAGTAAATCCTTCAGATTTTCCATTTGTCTTCAGATGTGTGAAAGAATTCATGGAGGGGGATACGGATGATAAAAACTTGTGGTGAAGGCATCAGTTTTTTCAGATATTTTTGAACACATAGAAAGACTCACACTGGAGAATAGCCTTATGAATGTATGAAATTTGTTAAAGCCATCATTTAAAGACAACAACAACAACAAAAATGCATTCAGCAGAAAATCTCTATGAAGGGCCGGTGGCTGTACCTTCAAAGGCCCATAATGCACACTGAAGATAGATGTTATACATATCAGACTCCAGTAGTTTGGAAAATAAAGGAAAGCTTTTGATTTTTATGATTGCTTTAAAAGTCAATGGGAAAACTCCCACTGGAAAGAAATCTCATAAATGTAGGTGATATTGAAATCTTAATGCAAATTATTAATTATTACATAATGTTCAGTTTCTCTATATGAACAAAATTTACATAAATTATGAATATGTTTATCAGTGGCTCATAGTTAAAAGTTCTCTGGTTTGCGTATTTCCATTTCTTTGTAAGGATACATAAAGGTGAGGATTCTATAGGTGTAGTTGTGTCAGTTAACAAAGGGATAAATTCAGAGAAATGCCTCGTTAGGCAATCTAATTGCTGTGTGAAGATTATAAAGTGTACTTAGACAAATTTTAGATGGTATAGTGCACTACCAACAAACTTAGGCTAAATGCTGTTGCCCGTTTCTTTTGGGCTCCAAACCTGTACATTATTGTATTTAGTACTGTAGGCAACAGTAACTCAATGATAAGTATTTGTGTATCTAAACACACCGAAAAATAGAAAAGCTACAGTAAGGATATAGTATAAAAGATCAGGGTAGGGTGGCCTGTGATTGTAATCCCAGCTGCTTATGAAGCTGAGGCAGGAGGATCACAGTTCAAGGTCAACCTGGGTAGTTTCTTGATCCTGTATCAAAGTAAAAAATAAAAAGGTCTAGGGGAGTAGCTCAATGGGTCGAGGGTCCCTGGCTTTGATCTCCAGTACTGCAAAAATAAAATAAAAGATATACCTGTGCAAGATACTTCCTGCGTACAGAACTTGCTGGAGTACTGGTGGGAGTCTGCTGGGCGAGTTTGAATGATCAATCGGTGACTGAATGTGAAGGCCTAGGACATTGCTGGACACTGCTGTTGACTTTATAAACACCTGGACTTATGTTATACTAAATTTATAAAAATAATTTTATCAGCAAGAATAAATTAACCTTAGGTTAGTGTAACTTTGTCACTTAATAAACAATTTTTTCATTTTTTTCACTTTCTGTAATAAACACATAGCTTAAAATATAAGATGTCTGTATAAAACATTTGTTTATATCTATTTTATAAGCATTTATCCATTTTAATGTTTACTGTTTACTTTTTAATGTATTTTGTTAAAGACTAAGAAACAAACACATTAGTCTAGGCTCACACAGCTCCAGAATCACCAATGTCAGTGTCTCCACCTCCTCATCTGGCCCAGTGGACATTCTTCAAGAGCAGCAACATTTGGAACTGTCATTTCCTATCATGACAGTGCTTTCTGCTGGAACCCTTTTTGTTGTTGTTGGTACTGGGGATTGAACCCAGGGGTGCTCTACCACTGAGCTATATCCCCAGCTCCCCACTCCCCTCTTTATTTTTTTTAATTTTTTTGTAGTGGTAGATGGACACAATGCCTTTATTTTATTTGTTTATTTTTATGTGGTGCTGAGGATTGAACCTAGTGCCTTACACATGCTAGGCAAGCACTCTGCCACTGAGCTACAGCCCCAGCCCTTTTTATTTTTTACTTTGAGATAGAATTCTCTAAGTTGCCCAGGCTGACCACTAACTTGTGACCCTCCTTCCTCAGCCTCTCAGGTTGCAGGGGTTACAGGCATGTGCCATCATCCCCACTGAAATCTTTTTTGAAGGACGTGTATGTCTGAGGCTCCACTTGGGAAATGTCACTCTTTTCATAAATGTGTACATGATGGTTTTCTTGGTTTCCTTTTTATCATAGACTTGCTTGTAAGCAGATAATATACCATGAATATTCCTCTCTGTTGATGAAAACTCCATGATACAATCAATGTCACCTGAGTGACAACCACCAACGGCCGGTTGGCTTTCACTTTGGTCTACACAGGGCTTTGTGTTCTGTGTCAAGTGTGGCCACCTTGTCCCATGTTGAAACACTCATCTGGACACAAATGGCTAATTGACTGCTGCAGTGTGACTTGATAGGTTCATCCTAGTTGGTAAGGAGTTTTTGAGGCACCTTTCAAGGCAGCAAAAGCATCACCTTAACTTGATTGGTACTTCAGTCCTAATTGCCAAGAATCTGGTGACTGCTCAGTGGTCACTGCATCTACTCTGGTTGTCACTTCTGGATGCTTGGCATGGCCATGTAAAAGTTGTTTATTATTGTACATCCTTGCAGTATGCTCATGGATGATTGTGAAGTCACAAAAAAGGGACTTTTTTTCTTTTTTTTGTACTGGGGATTGAACCCAGGGGCACTTAACCACTGAGTCACATCCCCAGCCCTTTAAATTTTTTTTTTTAATTTAGAGATAGGATCTCACTAAATTGCTGAGGGCCTTGCTAAGTTGTTGAGAGTGGCTTTGAACCTACAGTCTTCCTGCCAATGGGATTACAAGCATGCACCACGGTGCCCAGTCCACAGAATTAAATATTTTACCCAGTTGCCTAGAAAGAGTCATTGTACAGGCAGCAATGACTTCTGGTGCTGCTGATTCCCTTGCTGTAGTGTGCACTCCCGGATCCCCAAGGGTATTGGAAATAAAGGAAAGGGGGTTAACCCCTCCTAATTTTAGGTGGGCACAATATCTTTATTTATCTTTATGTGGTGCTGAGGATTGAACCCAGTGACTCAGCATGCCATGCCAGCGCGTTACCACTTGAGCCACATCCCCAGCCCAGGAACTAGTTTTTAAATAGAAGATATGTGGCTCTTTTCCCAGTGCAAAACCCCTAGCCAGTATATGGGCTTTCCTTAGCACTGTTGATCACCCGCATGCCCAAGTACAAATCTTAGAATCACAAGGTTTGAAGGCCTTCGACAAAAATGATCTTATTGTTTGTGGACTCTCACCCAAGGAAGGCTGAGTGGCACTTCCTGGAAGCTGAACTTCTTGCCCTTTATCTATAGGGAACTCAAATAAGAACTCAAACCTGGGACTGGGGATATAACTTATTGGTAGAGTACTTGTCTCATGCATAAGGCCCTGAGTTCAATCCTTATCAGTGAAAAAAAAAACCCTCTATAATTTTGGAGTTACTGTATAAAAAAACAAATAAACTTTTAACTCTGCAAAAACGTCTTGCCTAAATTATCCATATTATGGAACTCATTGTGCTAAGATATCCCTTAATCTTCATGGATTCCATTCCCTGATCTAGTGAGTAATGGATTAAAATTGAGTATTTGCCATTTCCAAATATTCTTGACAAAACGGCAGTCCCTTCACCCGCACCAGTTAAAATAAAGTTACAATGGCTAAATGTGAGTTTTTTTGGAATATATAAGTTTTGGGAAGGTTATTGAGTATTGATTCCATTTCATTAATAGACAGATCTGCTCAGGTAACCTACTCTTTTGTCAGTTTTAGTAGACTATATCTTTGAAGTAATTGATTCACTTGATTTGTGGTCATGGAGTCCTTCCTAATATTCTTTTATTATTCTTTCAGGGTCTATGGGAGGTGGTATAATGTTCTCTCTTCTATTTATTTATTTTTTTTCAGAGAATTTTAAGAATATTCTACATGCCCTAGAATGGTATTTCTTATCCCTGGCGCATTCCACACTCTTGCTCTCCTCCTGGCTGCCATGAGCTTGACAGTTCTCCACCTCACCCTTCCACAATGGAACCAGCCAACCGTGGACTGAGACCTCTGAAATGGAGGCTAAATAAGTCTTTCCTCCTTTAACTTGTTATTGTCAGGTGTTTGGGTTATGGGGATGAGAAACTAACACAATGTTTTAAACCATTTTCTAGGTCACATCACTACAGTCTGCCCAACTGATTCATCTCCTTTTTCAGGTGAATTTCCATGAGAAGTATAAACGGTCTGCATGATCCAAGCCATGTGTGACTCTCCTTGGCTCTTACAGGCAAATACAAATCACCAATAGAAGTTTATTGACCATTGTTTCAAGAATTTCAATGTCCTTTATCCTAATTTACTGTTTCCCTCCTGCATTCACAGCCACTCAACTGGTTCCCATGATGAGAAACAGTGTGTTGGGTTTCCTTTTTGTTTGCCTTATGCCGCAGTCTGGCTGGGCACAATTCAGGAGCCACTTGTCAAAAGAAACTAACTTTATTTTTAGAACTACAAACGCCAAGCAAAACAGCTCCWMAGGAAAAAACCCTCAGAGCCCAACTGCCACCACCAGCTTCCACAAGCCTCTCCCCGCACAAACCTAACCACCTCCCACAATCCTCCTGCTCTTGAGGCCGATTGGCTGGGTCGCATGGGCGGAGCCAAAGAAGTCCCCCAATGAGCAGTTCCGTAGTCTGAAGGGCAGGGAAACAGCCCAATGAACATCACCGCAGAGGAGCCAATCAGCTAGATGTTGCTGGGGCCACTGTGAGCCAATCATCAGCCGGCAGCTGGAAGTTTGCTGGCAGCTGGAAGTTTGCTGGGGCCCCTTTGGCTGTGGCTCTCAACAGCCTTAAAAATTCTTTTTATTGGGATAAAACTTACATTTCACAAAATTCAACATATAACCATTTTAAAGTACAAAATGCAAACTTTTTTTGTTTTGTTCACAATGACATTTAGCCAACACCACTATCAAATTCCAGATCACTTTCATCAATCCCTCAAAAAACCTCACAGCCATCAAAGAATCACTTATCACAAGTCAATAAAGACTTGTCTATTGTGGGAATTCACACAACAGCATCATACTGATGTGGCTTTTTATGTCCAACTTTGCTCAGTGAGCATGGCGTTTCATGTGCTTCTCAATGTCCATTCAGTCCTTTCCATGACTGCATATTATTGCATTGTGTGACTCTCACACAGTTTGTCTATCTAGTCATACGTTGATGTACATCTGGGTTTTTCCTACATTCTTTCTTTCTTTCTGATACTGGGATGGAACCTAGGGGCACTTAACCACTAAGCCACATCCCCATCTTTTTTTGTATTTTATTTAGAGACAGGATCTCACTGAGTTATTTAGGACCTCACTAAATTCTGAGGCTGGCTTTGAACTTGCAATCCTCCTGCCTCAGCCTCCCAAGCAGCTGGGATTACAGGCATGCACCACCATGCCCGGATATTTCCACTTTCGGAATTTTGCTATTATGCATAATGTTTCTTTTAACTTTCAAATACAGGTTTTTGTATGGAAATGTTCTCGTTTCTTTTGGTTACGTAGTTAGTAGTGGTATTGCTGGGCCATGTGGTAAACCTTCTTTGGAACTGACAAACTGTTTTCCAAAGGAGCTGCCTCATTTTGTAATCACACCAGCAGTTTAGAGTGGTTCTGATTTCTCTGCATATCCATACTTATTATTGTCTTTTGACAAGATGTATTGATTATACTGTGATTTTCCCTAATGAATAAGTTTTTTGGGCATCTTTTCATATAGTCATTGGCCACTTTTATCATTTATTGCCATAACATAATATATTGTTGTAAATAATAATTGAAATATTACTCAATAGAATATCTTTAAATTTTATAAAGTTACAAAATTATTTACTTAGTGTGATTGACTCATTTTAATATGTTAGAGACTATACATTGATTATCTTATTAGCATGTCTTGTATTCCTGAAGTTAACTCTCTTTAAAATAATTTTGTATGTTTACACATTGTTTTATTTTATTTTTTACACATTGTTTTATATCCCAATTAATAACATATTGGATTAGTTTCAAAGTTTTGGTATAAATATATGTAATAGCCAAACAAAATCTTCCAGTAGCTTCTTTTTCTTTTTTTTTTTTTTTTTTTACTGCTTTATAATATAGATTTGAAAATGTTGAAAAAGTCAGGCGCAATGGCACCTGCCTATAATCCCAGAGACTTGGAAGGCTGAGGCAGGAGGATTGCAAGTTCAAAGCCAGCCTCAGCAATTTAGCAAGTCCCTAGGAAACTTAGTGACAACCTGTCTCAGAATAAAAAGAGCTGGGGATGTAGCTCAATGGCTAAGTGCCCCTGGGTTCAATCCCTGGTACCAAATAATAATAATAATAATATTTTTTTAAAAA